ACCTGCATTTGCATGCAAAGCGAGCAGTCGTGTGCTGCACTGAGGCACCCAACGCTGTGAAATGTGTAGAGCGCTGTTGGTGTTTTGGTGGTGATCAGATTTATTGCCAGAGGCGCCTGAGTCACAATACGATAAAACAGGGGTGGGTGACAGTTGGGGACACTGTGTGGCCATTAGCGTTTACGTGCAGGCAGATAACCCACACGATGAGGATGAAAAAATGGTGAGTCTAGTCAGCTATACTTCTGTGTTGTAGCAAAAGCAAAGCCAGAAGGGCTCTAAAAGAGCTGCTGTAATGCACATCTGCAGTTATGAGAGCCATCATATCTCTTTGGATCCGATTATCAAACTATGCTCTGTTAGTGAGCTCTCAAGCTAAAACATTTAGAGTTAAAAGCAAACCATAGATTCCATACCATCAAAAATTATCCAGACAGAGAACATGTTCAGTTGAATACTATATAAAATGTATGCAAAAAAGTTTTCTTGGGATAATGGGCAGTTATGGACTGCTATTTTGGCCAGAAGTGATGGGTTAAAGTTGAAAAGCCTTAATGATAGATTTGTTTCTTACAAACATGGAGCTTTTAATTGATGTTAATTAATGGACTGGAATTGTGTGGATTACTTGTGGATTATTGTGATGTTTTTATCAGCTGTTTGGACTCTCATTCTGACGGCACCCATTCACTGTAGAGGATCCATTGGTGAGCAAGTGATGTAATGCTACATTTCTCCAAATCTATGAAGAATAACTCCTCTACATCTTTGGCCTGAGGGCGAGTAAATTTACAGCAAATTAAAATTTTTGGCTGAACTATTCCTTAAACAAATAACATTTAAATATATGCTACTATATTATTAACAGTTTTGTTGGTTTAAATCTTTTGCTACAAAATAATAGGCCTAAATGCAGACTCAAATAAATTGCTAATTACATTTTTATGTACAGTATATTAATTATACTCAATAATGTGCAAAACCAGGTTTTGCCACTTGAAGCTGAAGCCAGTGTTCTGAGCACTCAAATGTGCGCATGCTTGATATTCTGTCTGCTGTCTACAAGCCTAGTTTCATTCATTCGTTCGTATTTTTGAATAGCGAGGGTTGAATGCATCATGTTCTATTTCTCTCTGTGGCCCATTTTCTGAGGCTCGGTCAGTCCCCACTCACTGTTTTATGATGAAGTCATTGCTTGTTCCAGCCTGGTCAACCATGACAGTCGAGCTCTTATTAATAGCGTGGCAGGATCCCTCAGTCAAAGCAAGAGAGACCTAGAGCTCTTCCACACCTGCTGTGTCGGAGTACATCATTGCTCCTGGCATATTGAATGTCTGGATGGGCTCCAAACTCTCTCAGCTTGGTGGAGGTGGGGAACAGCCAGAGCTGTGTGCTGAATGAGATAGATATAAGCAAATAACCTCAGCTGAACTTAGCTATGTAAATCATTAGCAAGAGGAACGCCAAGGCTGAAAAACAATAGAATATCAATCTGATTACTGGGTGATTGTTTACTGGCCCAAGTCTGCACAATCAAAGCTTGCAGTCTTTATTAAATAACACAATGTATTAGTCAGAAACTGTCTGATCAACCAGCATATTTAAAATATAAACTAGCCAATCAGTTTATGTTTAAGGTGTACTGTATTATCCAGACAGTGATGTAGAAGGTGACCAACATGTAGCCTGTAAATAACAAGAGATCTTTTCTTCCATATTGTGACGAATATCCGAGTTAAATGGATTATAAAAAATAAAATAAATAAATAAATAAAGTAGACATGCATGAATGAATAAGATCAATAAGATGCATTTAGAAAATAAATTGGGTGATTTCTATTTTATTTCGAAAGTCTACCTTGTGAACTAATTAAATAAAAGAACAAAAAAAAATTCAAAAATAATAATAAATAAATAAATAGATAATAACAAGAATTCAGAGGCAAAGATAGAGGGAGAGAATTAAATGCATTTTAAATAATAATTGTATGTATTTGTGTTAAAGTGTTTTATTTAGTTCCAATATGTGTTCCTTTTTTTGTTAAATTCTATTCATTTATATTTCAAATTTGTGTATTTTTCTTTTTTTCAGATTTTTTCAAAGTTTTATTTTTTTATTTAATATTTATTCTATTTAAAATTTTGTTCAAAATGTATAGGCAATGATAAATCAAATGAATAATTAAATGAAAGCAGGAAAAATGTATATTCTGCAATATAGTATGGGAACAATATGACCTCACAGACACTTTGAGGCAAACACAGGCAAAGCAGGGCGCTACATGAGAGTGATGGAGGACAGCCTGACAGCCTGAATCGTACTGAAGTGTTTTTATGTTTGTGTTTCAAGAAAGACTTGCCTGTAGCTTTCGGTCAGCCTTCATCACCCTCTTACTGGCGGTTACCATGGCACTAGCGCGTTAGGTCAGGCCAGACCCACAGACCTTTCCTCTGAACACAGCAATCCCAAAGGACAGTCTGATGAGGACTAAAATGACAAAAACAAAGCAGATGAACAGCTGGCAGCTGCCACTGCATTCCTTTTCATTGACCGCTTCTCTTTTGCTGCAGCAAAATAGACTTTAGATTAGGGTTATCTGACATAGCAGGGAATGAACATCTAGTCCTTGAAATGCAGCAGACTTTAAAAACATTTTATGTGATTAAGCATCTTTCATCTCTGCGGCCCATCTATCATGTCACAGGCTGTTTCTCTCGGTCGAGAAGCAAGATTACATGATGTTATTTACAAAGAAAGGCGTGCATTGAACCATGTGCTCTGTGACACATTCGCATGTTATTTTTCATTGTGGAACAAAAAGTTAATTCGTTTAAAGTCTGTGCATAGAGGGGAAAGTAATTACAGAGCCGAAGAACATTTTCCATGCCATACAGAATGTTCACTAATGAAAAAACAGGTGAGTGACTCTGGTAATTAATTTCCAAGGAGACTGAATCAACATTGAAATTAGCATCTTTTTTTGAAGTCCTTCCTTCTGCGGCACATTTATGATGATGCTTTATGGAATTGAATGGTGTTTTTTATTTAACTTTTTAAAAATGTGTTTGTGTGTGTAATCTGATTACATAATCTGATTCCAAAAAATTTGTACTTGTAATTAGATTACATTACATTTTAAAATGCTCTAAAATAATCAGATTACAGTTACTTTTTTATAGATTACATATTTTTTTCTGAGCGTGTATTTTTCTAAAAATATTTTGTATATTTTTTATATACCAACTGAATTAACTGAACTGTACTTCATCAGTATCTTTTTCAATCATGTCCAATTAAAAACAGTGGCTACTTTGACTGTACGATCCATGATCAGGCATGATACAGGCCAAACTCGCTTTACCATGAATGTGAGAGCATGCGCAAGTGACATTATTTTGTGCAAAGGGATGCCAACCCCTGCACTAGACGATGGCACCTGACTGATTGGCTCTTTTTGAGATGGAAACTGACCAACATACTGCATGTAAACGTGACTTTAGCCACCACATGTATGTTAACACTATGCAATGTAAACACATTCAATCAACAAACAACACCGTCCTTGCACAAACATGCATGTTCATCTCTCTCTGTTGGAACAAGATAAGAGGTCAGGGCAAACAGTGATGGTCTTTTTGGAGCAGAGTTTTTTTTTTCTTTTTTCTTTCATTTGACCAAGCAAATAAAACCTTCAATTTTCTTTTGGCTTTGGACTGCATCTATTTGGAATCAATTCCAGTTCCAATGTGGTGTTACATTTGCTCGCTGCTGAGAGTAATTATAGAGGTGGAAGCATTTCTGTATTGTTGATCAACCATGTGCGATAATAAATGTGACCCTGGACCACAAATCCAGTCTTAAGTCGCTTGGGTCTATTTTTAGCAATAGCCAAAGAAACATTGTATGGGTCAAAATGATCGATTTTTCTTTTATGCCAAAAATCATTAGGATATTAAGTAAAGATCATGTTCCATGAAGATGTTTTGTAAATTTCATCTTTTTCATATTACAATTTTTTGATTAGTAATATGCATTGCTAAGAATTTCATTTGGACAACTTTAAAGGCGATATTTTCAGTATTTCTATTTTTTTTGTACCCTCAGATTCCAGATTTTCAAGTAGTTGTATCTCGGGCAATGTAATATCGTCCTATCCTAACAAACCATACATCAATGGAAAGCTCATTTATTAAGCTTTCAGATGATGTATAAATCTCAATTTAAAAAAATGGACCCTTATGACTGGTTTTGTGGTCCATGGTCACAAATATCTTCAAGAAAAGTGCATGTTCAGATTTAGTGGCTTTATTGCAGCTGCAACAATTATTCTCTGTTACTTGCAACATTTCTTTTGACTTCTCTTAGCTTTTCCTCCATTAGGACCTTGTTGTGGTCTCAGCTTCAAGCTGAGTGAGCCTCTTATTCGACTCATCCAGGAGAGTGATGAACAGGGGAGTGATGGGTTTGGAGTGAGGCAGTTGCTGGCAGTGCACCTGGATGGCAGAGACAGGCACTGGACTCATTATTCTCAATGACATTTTAAGCATCCCTTTATAGTGAACTGCCATTGTAAGTCAATGCCAAAGAGATGATAAGGGAATTGTGTGCAGTACAGCCAGCCAACTAGGTTCAACTGCTGTTTTTTTTTTTTTTTGGTTGTCCCAGGACAGCAAGTTATCCAGCATCAGTCTATGGGCCAGATTTACTAACAGCTTGTGCCAGTGCAAACCCTCTTTTGGCGTTAGAAAACTACTGTCAGTATTTACTAAAGGCACACAGTGAAGAATTAGCTCTGAAAAGGTGTGGACACAGTTATTTTTGAGACAGAGCTTATTTCATATGCGTTTGTAGGAGTTTCCCTTTCAGACACTAAATTTATTTTAAGGTTTGCATTAGTTAATTTACTGGTATCTGTGCCATAATTTAGCGCCTCAAAAAGCATGTCTTAAACCAGACTCTAATTTGCACTGTTCTTGGTAGACTGTGTTGGTCACTGTGGAAATGATCCGGCTGCGTCTGTGTTCTTTAATGTGTGTTTTGTCAGTAGATCAACCGCAGAACTTTGTGAACTACTCCAACCGCAGAACTACTCCAATCGGCTCTTTTATGGGATTGCGCTCTCATGCTAATTTGACCTGTTTAGTAAATCTGGCCCTATATGTATAGATAATTCAGACAAACATCCCCATTCACCTGCTGCATTATGCAATATAGTGATCAGTTCCCTTTCATGGGAACTTCGAACTGCGTCCTCTAGGGGTCGCTATGGGGAACGCCTCGTCGTGACCCGTGTCTGAAGCATACATTGAAAATTACACAATAGCAACCACCTAGTAAAAAAAAAGAAAATAAAGTTTTCTGTATATTTTGCAACTCATTTTCTGTATAAAAACATAGCAATTCTTTGAAAAAACACTTGATCAAACGGTGTCTCTTTGATTGGAACTGATCGTGTGGAATCTATTAATTTTCCAATTAAGCGTTCAGTCTGCCTTCTGATGCAAATGTGATGGTATTTACATTGTTCCCTCAATTTGCATTTATAGTGCTTCTCAGCCTGGATATACAGACATGTTTAGCACTTAGTTTTACTATTAGTTGACCAGCCATTCAAGCAGATTAAAAAAAGACATATTTTCAGAAACCCCCACAACACCCCTGAGAAGAGAAATCCATACGAACAAAGCCTTCTAACAACTTCATGAAGCTTCAAAAGGGAAGGACTCATTCACTCGGAACAGAAGGAAATAAAGTAGTGAAACTAAGATTTATGAGGTCAATTTAATTTAAACTAGAATGTAAATAACAAACTGAATGATTAATTCTCTCCGGAAAGTGACACGTCAAGTTTGTGTTGCATTAGGAAGGCTGGGAATAAGATGTAATCAGTTTTCATTAATACAGATGCAACTGTTCTCCTTTATCCTGGAGGAGTCTAACAATACCACACCACACAGCGTGGAATAGATTCATGTCACTAGTCTATGGGATTTTAATAGGACCTACATATGAAACTGTTAAATGAAACACAATTAAATACATTTTGGATGTATAAAATAAAGTTAAAAGGCATAAATTAAAACTTGGATGTATAAAATAACTAAATATAACATGCCATTAAAGAAGCCCATTGCCTGATTCTTCATTGACTGGGCATTGAGATGTCAGATTATGTGTCCCGTGATTCAATATTTATTTTTCGCTCTCAAAAGTAATTTCCTCCCTTCCAAAAAGCCTACACCCCAAATAACTGGAGCTACTAAAAAAGAGGCATTTGTTTCGCAGAACTATACAAATCAAAAATAACCGAGAATAACATTTTTAACAATTCAGAATATTTATATATACCAGAGAAATGCTAAACAATGAAGGCGAACCTTTTGATTTCCATATTTCGGCTCCCTCAGAAACGGGTTCACTGAGTTGTATTGCATAACTTTCAATCAAAAGATTGATTTGCCTGCCCTGTGCCTTTGTTTCATTTCAGTTATGAAGCTACCTTTGTATGCACACAGCACACTTGAGGTGGCCTCATTGATTTTATACTTGCATTTTCACCAGCAGATGACCACAAATTATCAGTGTCACCCACCAACTTGATTCATGTCCATCTTGATGATGCTTCACCAGTGAGTCTATGTGGTTTTTCACGACAGTAATCGCATATTCTAATCAGTGGCAGAAAACTCAAGGGTGAGGAACGTGGCCTGCTGGCACGTAAAGACCAATAAGAAACCACAATGATAAGGATAATAATTGGAATTTTTTGTGGAATATGCAGTAATTGGACATCGAGGGAGAGAATATTAATCTGGCACTGTTATTTTCGATGTGACCTGATTAGGCAGAAATGGACTGTGGAGTTGGGTTGATTGTACCGTGTCTTTCCCTTGCGTCTTTATTGAAATTCATGGCAGTGGAAAACCTTTCCCTCAGGCACTTACCTCTCTCCATTTCAAAGATCCTTCACAAAGATTTGATGTGCCTTTGTTGGGGGGGGGGGCCATAACACTTTACATTTCCTAACATAACACTGGGCGACACACCAGCAGTGGAGGAATCATAAAGAATACCAATAATGCAAAACTGGGGAGCTGTGTGAAACGGATCACACCTACACGCACACACAAGTACATAGAGAAATAACAGGTTACCATGATTGATATGGAAATCAGCTGTGTTTAAAAAAAAAAACTATTTTCAATGTGAAATGAAATGCAGGCTGCTGTTGATGTGCCGGTAAATTACTCTTGGCTTTAGTTTGGGACAGTGACAATATGGTGAAAAGCAATGTTGGAATGCTAGGCTTGTGTGGGGAAATAATCAAAGGTTGTTCAGTAAATACCACGCTACATTCATAATGCGGTGAGATATTGAGTTTGAACATGTATCATGAGGCTTGGCTTTCACCTTTTTTTCGTCAAATTGTGTTGAATTCTCTCTAGAGCTGTTGGGATTTTGGGATAAATGCAAATTATCAGTCTCATGAATATACCTTTTTTTGGGGACGTGAATTTAACATGTCAATTTAGTGCAGCTAATTATACAAACAATAAAGAAAGAAAGTAAACAGACCCATACAAAAATCGCCTAACTCAAACAAACTGACAAACTCAATTGTGAGTTTGTTTAGTCATATATAATAATGTAATGTTTTTTTCTTAATAAGAGTTTTTTTTTGTGGCAATTATAATTAATTGCCAGCCCTAATACATATGATTATGAATGAACCTGCAATGTCTGGTGATGCTGCATTTCCATAAGCTTAGAACTTTAAAACCAGTGCGATTAAACTAGTAATTGGCCATTTTCACAAGAAAAGCTAATTCCTTTAATCGAGAATCAAGTCGACAATCAGATGTATTGTGTGATCTGAACTTCCTGCTGGGATATAAGCCTGCTGTTAAAGAAAAACATATGAGACCTAAAACGTCTAGCTTAACACTATCTGCCTTTTAACTGGTGGTTCAGAGGGCCAGAGAAGTAACTCCCTCACGAAACGGCAGCACTTCAAGAAGTTTGTGTCTTTCTAGTTAAGATCTGACACTCAGAAACGTGAGACTCAAACTACAGCAGCCCTGCCATGTTCAAATTAATTTGCATAATCACATAAGTAATGAACTTTATGAATAAGACGAAAGCCAGTTCAGCATTAAGGACAGATGCTATCAGCTCAAGCTACAGACAAATGCTTTAGATCAGTGTTGCAGACAGATGTCTTTCAGGAAAAGAGTGAAAGCCAGATTGGTGTTAGTTTTTTCTTCTTTTTATATAATTGACCCAGTGTTTTCAATCTGTGTGAGAAAACTCAATAAAATAACAGTTTCTAAAAGTCACTGAAAAGTCAGAAGGTTGTTCCTTTTATTATGCAGTCTCCCTTCCGGCATTATTTTTCTTTTTAAACTTAGCCTTCATTTCTCGACTAGTTAGTGGAGAGAAAGCTTGAACAAATTACTTGCATAGATTTAAAGTATGATTGCATTTCATCAAAAGATTATGGGAATTCTGTGCTATTAATTTTTTTTCAAACTCAAAGTAAAATTTTTGTGACAAGTTACCGAATAATTTTCACGTAAGTACAGTTTTCTGCACATTTGCTGTCTGAAAAAGCTTGCAAATATGAAGTCCCAAGTAAGGCTAGAACTTAATGTCTGAAGATGAATATTGCTCAATAATACACTTAAAATAGTAAAGTGGACCTCTCAATGAATTTAACGTCTATTTGTGAATGTAAGTCTCATGGGATTGATATAAAAGGATTTGAGATTCCTCCACGGGCAAGATTCCTTTTTCTGGTGGGTTACAGAAAAAGGGGTAGCATGGATCTAAAAATATCTGTGAAATGTTGGAGAATAGAAATAGTATGGCATCCCACAGAATTCTTCATTTTTTTTGCGCATTCTCTGGAATTTTAAATGAGTTGCAGTGTGGAGCAAAATACACTCCGTTGCCTTAACTGAAACCGCCAGGTAACTGTTTTACAGACTATTGCAGTGGTAGAAATATAGGAAAAAATGTTACATTTAAAATACTTTAAATTACATAAGTTTGAACTTAAAAAGCTTCAAAACTAAAAAGCTATTTAAACTTTCTGCTAGCAGATATGTTGCAAGACTATGTCGCTAGAAATATTCATGATAAGAGGAAACAGCAGTAGTAAATCCCTGTGGGTGATCTATTCCCAAGGCAGAATTGATGGTGGTAAAAGTGCATTTAAATTCCCAGTGCCCTAGCAGACGGGGAGGCTTGACACAGACATGAAGGGAGAGGAAATTGCAGAGAGGAGTTGGAATCATCCCCTCCCAGCTCCTGTGCCCTTGATCTTGATTGAAAATGCCAAAGGACAGCATTCAAAATCATCAAGTAAAAAGGGCTGCCCGTAAATTAACGTGAACGGAACCGCAGTCTGACTTGTCACAATCTTCAGCAAATGACCTCATTATAACCCCCTGAATTCAGGCTGAATCCCCACGAAATTGTTCTGTCGCACACGGCCCTTTTCTGTTCTGTTGTTTACATTTACAGATGTAGATTTGTGGCTTCATTCGAGTTGAGTTATTGTTTTGTTCTAGATTTAATATAAAATATTTCCTCTCACAGTGACAATAAATGTTACAATCGTTTACATAGGTTCATATTCAGGGCTCTACAGTTTGTACAACTAAACTTGACACAACATTAGATTACCAGGAGAGTCTGGAGAAATCAAAGTTGCCAAAAAACACGTCACTATATAAGAAAATGGAATTTCTGATATACAAAGACCACGTAACGGATAACAAATGGCGAAAGAATCAGACATTCATGCTGTAGAGCAATCCGTCTGTGGCTCACGTTGTGAAATATTGCAAGTAAGGCCCAACTTTCAGAGAAGCTATGAGCAGATGAATAAAATAACTTTAAAATCATTCTGTTTGTAATGGCGTTGCATCATCAAGTCTTCATGTGTCATCAGTCACAGCAAGATGATGTTTGACTCAGACTGCAGTCTATGGTGAAGTAAAGGCAATATATCTCATTAACTTTGGGAAAAGAACCATAAGCGAGTAGAAAATAACAGCATAAATTCAAACTGAATTGTCCTTCTTTCTTTTATCCTTTTAAGTCCATTAGGAGTCGTCTTCGGTTTTGATGACATGAAAAAGTGTGACGTTGAAAATGACCTGATGGCCATTGTTCCAGGCATAAAGTGCCCGTTCTCGAGCGTTGTAGTCGAGCATGGAGATGTGAAAGTACTGGTTGTGGAATGGGATGTCCATGTACTCATACGTCGAGGTCTTTGTGTTGTACGAATAATACACCTTGGCTCCGGTCAGGTGGGAATTGGTGATGTAGAGCGTGCCACAGATCATGAAGGACTCGCCTGCATTCCTTTTGGAGTATTCCGTGTTCCACGTCTGGAGAACTTCTAGCGTCTGCGGTTCTAACTGAGAAATCACAATGTTTCCTGCTATGCACACAGCACACTTGAGGTGGCCTCATTGATTTTATACTTGCATTTTCACCAGCAGATGACCACAAATTATCAGTGTCACCCACCAACTTGATTCATGTCCATCTTGATGATGCTTCACCAGTGAGTCTATGTGGTTTTTCACGACAGTAATCGCATATTCTAATCAGTGGCAGAAAACTCAAGGGTGAGGAACGTGGCCTGCTGGCACGTAAAGACCAATAAGAAACCACAATGATAAGGATAATAATTGGAATTTTTTGTGGAATATGCAGTAATTGGACATCGAGGGAGAGAATATTAATCTGGCACTGTTATTTTCGATGTGACCTGATTAGGCAGAAATGGACTGTGGAGTTGGGTTGATTGTACCGTGTCTTTCCCTTGCGTCTTTATTGAAATTCATGGCAGTGGAAAACCTTTCCCTCAGGCACTTACCTCTCTCCATTTCAAAGATCCTTCACAAAGATTTGATGTGCCTTTGTTGGGGGGGGGGGCCATAACACTTTACATTTCCTAACATAACACTGGGCGACACACCAGCAGTGGAGGAATCATAAAGAATACCAATAATGCAAAACTGGGGAGCTGTGTGAAACGGATCACACCTACACGCACACACAAGTACATAGAGAAATAACAGGTTACCATGATTGATATGGAAATCAGCTGTGTTTAAAAAAAAAAACTATTTTCAATGTGAAATGAAATGCAGGCTGCTGTTGATGTGCCGGTAAATTACTCTTGGCTTTAGTTTGGGACAGTGACAATATGGTGAAAAGCAATGTTGGAATGCTAGGCTTGTGTGGGGAAATAATCAAAGGTTGTTCAGTAAATACCACGCTACATTCATAATGCGGTGAGATATTGAGTTTGAACATGTATCATGAGGCTTGGCTTTCACCTTTTTTTCGTCAAATTGTGTTGAATTCTCTCTAGAGCTGTTGGGATTTTGGGATAAATGCAAATTATCAGTCTCATGAATATACCTTTTTTTGGGGACGTGAATTTAACATGTCAATTTAGTGCAGCTAATTATACAAACAATAAAGAAAGAAAGTAAACAGACCCATACAAAAATCGCCTAACTCAAACAAACTGACAAACTCAATTGTGAGTTTGTTTAGTCATATATAATAATGTAATGTTTTTTTCTTAATAAGAGTTTTTTTTTGTGGCAATTATAATTAATTGCCAGCCCTAATACATATGATTATGAATGAACCTGCAATGTCTGGTGATGCTGCATTTCCATAAGCTTAGAACTTTAAAACCAGTGCGATTAAACTAGTAATTGGCCATTTTCACAAGAAAAGCTAATTCCTTTAATCGAGAATCAAGTCGACAATCAGATGTATTGTGTGATCTGAACTTCCTGCTGGGATATAAGCCTGCTGTTAAAGAAAAACATATGAGACCTAAAACGTCTAGCTTAACACTATCTGCCTTTTAACTGGTGGTTCAGAGGGCCAGAGAAGTAACTCCCTCACGAAACGGCAGCACTTCAAGAAGTTTGTGTCTTTCTAGTTAAGATCTGACACTCAGAAACGTGAGACTCAAACTACAGCAGCCCTGCCATGTTCAAATTAATTTGCATAATCACATAAGTAATGAACTTTATGAATAAGACGAAAGCCAGTTCAGCATTAAGGACAGATGCTATCAGCTCAAGCTACAGACAAATGCTTTAGATCAGTGTTGCAGACAGATGTCTTTCAGGAAAAGAGTGAAAGCCAGATTGGTGTTAGTTTTTTCTTCTTTTTATATAATTGACCCAGTGTTTTCAATCTGTGTGAGAAAACTCAATAAAATAACAGTTTCTAAAAGTCACTGAAAAGTCAGAAGGTTGTTCCTTTTATTATGCAGTCTCCCTTCCGGCATTATTTTTCTTTTTAAACTTAGCCTTCATTTCTCGACTAGTTAGTGGAGAGAAAGCTTGAACAAATTACTTGCATAGATTTAAAGTATGATTGCATTTCATCAAAAGATTATGGGAATTCTGTGCTATTAATTTTTTTTCAAACTCAAAGTAAAATTTTTGTGACAAGTTACCGAATAATTTTCACGTAAGTACAGTTTTCTGCACATTTGCTGTCTGAAAAAGCTTGCAAATATGAAGTCCCAAGTAAGGCTAGAACTTAATGTCTGAAGATGAATATTGCTCAATAATACACTTAAAATAGTAAAGTGGACCTCTCAATGAATTTAACGTCTATTTGTGAATGTAAGTCTCATGGGATTGATATAAAAGGATTTGAGATTCCTCCACGGGCAAGATTCCTTTTTCTGGTGGGTTACAGAAAAAGGGGTAGCATGGATCTAAAAATATCTGTGAAATGTTGGAGAATAGAAATAGTATGGCATCCCACAGAATTCTTCATTTTTTTTGCGCATTCTCTGGAATTTTAAATGAGTTGCAGTGTGGAGCAAAATACACTCCGTTGCCTTAACTGAAACCGCCAGGTAACTGTTTTACAGACTATTGCAGTGGTAGAAATATAGGAAAAAATGTTACATTTAAAATACTTTAAATTACATAAGTTTGAACTTAAAAAGCTTCAAAACTAAAAAGCTATTTAAACTTTCTGCTAGCAGATATGTTGCAAGACTATGTCGCTAGAAATATTCATGATAAGAGGAAACAGCAGTAGTAAATCCCTGTGGGTGATCTATTCCCAGCGCTGAATTGATGGCGGTAAAAGTGCATTTAAATTCCCAGTGCCCTAGCAGACGGGGAGGCTTGACACAGACATGAAGGGAGAGGAAATTGCAGAGAGGAGTTGGAATCATCCCCTCCCAGCTCCTGTGCCCTTGATCTTGATTGAAAATGCCAAAGGACAGCATTCAAAATCATCAAGTAAAAAGGGCTGCCCGTAAATTAACGTGAACGGAACCGCAGTCTGACTTGTCACAATCTTCAGCAAATGACCTCATTATAACCCCCTGAATTCAGGCTGAATCCCCACGAAATTGTTCTGTCGCACACAGCCCTTTTCTGTTCTGTTGTTTACATTTACAGATGTAGATTTGTGGCTTCATTCGAGTTGATTTATTGTTTTGTTCTAGATTTAATATAAAATATTTCCTCTCACAGTGACAATAAATGTTACAATCGTTTACATAGGTTCATATTCAGGGCTCTACAGTTTGTACAACTAAACTTGACACAACATTAGATTACCAGGAGAGTCTGGAGAAATCAAAGTTGCCAAAAAACACGTCACTATATAAGAAAATGGAATTTCTGATATACAAAGACCACGTAACGGATAACAAATGGCGAAAGAATCAGACATTCATGCTGTAGAGCAATCCGTCTGTGGCTCACGTTGTGAAATATTGCAAGTAAGGCCCAACTTTCAGAGAAGCTATGAGCAGATGAATAAAATAACTTTAAAATCATTCTGTTTGTAATGGCGTTGCATCATCAAGTCTTCATGTGTCATCAGTCACAGCAAGATGATGTTTGACTCAGACTGCAGTCTATGGTGAAGTAAAGGCAATATATCTCATTAACTTTGGGAAAAGAACCAAAAGCGAATAGAAAATATCAGCATACATTTTTAATCCATAAGTCCATTAGGAGTCGTCTTCGGTTTTGATGACATGAAAAAGTGTGACGTTGAAAATGACCTGATGGCCATTGTTCCAGGCATAAAGTGCCCGTTCTCGAGCGTTGTAGTCGAGCATGGAGATGTGGAAGTACTGGTTGTGGAACGGGATGTCAATGTACTCATACGTCGAGGTCTTTGTGTTGTAGGAATAATACACCTTGGCTCCGGTCAGGTGGGAATTGGTAATGTAGAGCGTGCCGCAGATCATGAAGGACTCGCCTGCATTCCTTTTGGAGTATTCCGTGTTCCACGTCTGGAGAACTTCCAGTGTCTGCGGTTCTAACTGAGAAATCACAATGTTTCCTGCATTCTGATTGGTGGCATATACAGCCCACAAACCCAGCTCGTCCGCCATCAGGTCGATGTCCGAGAAGCCTCCCCAGGTGTAGGGGTAGACATTGTGGAAGCCGGCGTACTCCAAGGCACGCTGGGCGAGAACCCGTCCGGTCTCGAAGCTGTATTTGACAATGATGTTGCTCTGCTCCTTGTTGTAGTACAGAGAGCCGTTGTAGACCACATGGTTGGTTCCAGCCCATTTAAAGGGAAGGTAATAGGTTCGCGATTCCAGGCCGGAGATGAAGTCTGCGATGCTTTTGTACTCTCGAACCACCTTGCTGTTGGTGTAAGTGTCCATATACCAAATCTGTGGGAATATTACAGAGTGAGATTAAAGTTTGTAGATGAGCGGCACACTACATTATTTTGCACCTGCTTGAAAGTAGGTGTTAGTAATCCTGGGGAGGAAGGAGATTAATCAGGTACTGCATATGGAAGACTGAAGAACGTAGTGCCGTCCACTCCTGAACTCACCCGGTTATTTCTTGGAGATGCTAGAGGGTCGGTCATCCATGCACCAAACCGCGTTCCAGATGTCTTTATAGTCACAGGGCCAGTGATTTTCATTAATTTCCCACATGCTGGGAAAACAAAATCTTTATTTTAATATCATCATCTTCTCGTTTTCAATTTCATGCCTTCTAAAGATTGTTGCTTTCAGTGCATGTGAAAAACAAAGCAACTCTTAATGATGTACTAGCTTAGTGCATCCAACCCCCAATGCTAGGATGTAATTATCAGAGATATTAATAACATATTGGAACATCTGTTGAATTTGCCTAACAAACATATTAATATTGTAAGGCTTTTTAGCACTTCATCTTCAGAATCCCAGGTGTTATTTGAGGACTGTTAAAAACACATTGTTATTTAATTGCAATTAAATATCCACTACAGAAAAACTGCAGTTGGAGGTAAATCTGTGATTTTTGTATTTAGTTGTGGGCGGAATATTTTATTTTTTAACTGAGACATCACTTTGGGACAGTCCAACTACAGTTCTGTCATGACAACTCTCAGAGGGATCGGCATGGTGATGTACATGACAATGTTAATGTATTTGGTCTTGGCGGAATAGATCTGCTACGTAGCGAGACTTGCTACTGCCAATACATCCACAACATGCTGCTATGAGCATTTAAGAAATATTGCTACTGCAAATATAACATACATGAAATAACCCCCCATAGAGCATACATGAATCACCTCGTAGAAGATCTATACAGGTGTAGCTGGGGAAGGTGGAGGGTTTCTGAAGCAAGCTACAACTGCTACAGCAAACACTAGTGATATATTTGAATGTTGAGCAGCGAGCTCATTGGCTACCGATACAGGAGAGAACCAATCAGCTGTGCCATGTGATAACGATGTCATTAGGTCAGATTGAGTTAGACCAATCGAACTGTGCCATCTAGAGTTTCATGTCAAAATCCCTGCATTTTATTTACATTGCTTCACTTCCATCTCCATCTAGCTGCTTTTAAATGAGCTAGATGTAAATGCCACTTAAGAAACTCATTGGGGCAGGTGAGCCTGAAACCAAATTAGGCTTGTTGGTCATTAACTGAAAAGTTCAGTCAATCATAGTAGAGGTCAGTTGCATATTTTGATAGAACATTTACCACTGTATCTTTAAACAATCTATCAAAATGAAATAAAACTGTAGTAGAATATGGTCCCTTTAAAATGACACAAAACTGTGGATTATAATAGCTTACTGAGTTTGCTCATGCAGTTTCGTAGACGGCTGTCCAAGCTGAGGACTCTCTGATAGAGCTGCTCATAGTCATAAGCTCCCAGCTCCTCCTGGATGCCCATCAGCACGGCAGAAAGATTCCTGATTTCCTCTTTGAACTGTGAGATCAGCTTAGCATCTGTTTTGTACTGCTCTAGCACAGGAATCAATGGCTGGAGTTCATCCATACGATCTTTCAGCTCCTGTAGACACACACCCACACAGATGTTGTTACACTTTGCACGTTGGTCCCAATAAACAATGTTTAGCCGTAAAACGCATTTCATTATGTAGTTATAGTAAAAATCTATTATACATTTATTTCACCTTTTGACATAACACATACAATATTCATGGCTAATGCTGATGTTTGCATTTCCATCAGCAGGTCTTCTGTAACCTAATAAAAATGTACCTTAAAGTTTCTAGCCATTATAGTTTTCCTGTCCTCTTCAATTTGCCGGAACTTGGTCCGTAACCCTTTCATTTGATTTTCCATTTTCATGACATACTGGAAATCGCGCTGTGTACGCAGATTCAGGACTTCAATTGATTGAGACATGTTCTGCACCTGCGTCACAAAACCACAAGTTAGGAAGTTAGATAAAACTAGGGGTCAGAGGGTTGTAGTAAAATAAATAAATAATGAAAAAGTAAGTAAATAAATACATAAATAAAAATAATAGTAATAAATAAATAAAATCATAATAAAAACAGCATAACTGTATTCAACATTGATAATAATAATTAATATTTATTGAGCAGCAAATCAGCATATTAAGAATGATTTCTGAAGGATCATGTGACCATGAAGACTGGAGTAATGGCTGCTGTAAATTCAGCTTTGCCATCACAGGAATAAATTACATTTTAAAATATATTCAAATAGAAAACAGTTATTTTAAATTGTATTAATATTTTATAATTGTATTGTTTTTATTGTATTAAATAAATGCAACCTTGTTGAGCATGACACCTCTTTTACAAAAAAAGAAAAAAAAACCCTTATTGACCCCAAACATTTGAACTGTATTGTAGATGTAAACTAATCCATGATATTTGAACTTTTGCACCAGTAAATGATAATCCATAGACCGTGTCAGCAACTGATCACCATTTTTTATTGAAAACAATACAGTACGTTACTTGGGCTTCATGAGGGTGAGTAGATTAATTTATTATTGTGTGATCTATCCATTCAACCTCAGCAGGCCTCTGTAAGACATAATGGGAAGTTAATATTTTATAATTGTATTGTTTTTATTGTATTAAATAAATGCAACCTGGTTGAGCATGACACCTCTTTTACAAAAAAAGAAAAAAAAACCCTTATTGACCCCAAACATTTGAACTGTATTGTAGATGTAAACTAATCCATGATATTTGAACTTTTGCACCAGTAAATGATAATCCATAGACCGTTTCAGCAACTGATCACCATTTTTTATTGAAAACAATACAGTATGTTACTTGGGCTTCATGAGGGTGAGTAGATTAATTTATTATTGTGTGATCTATCCATTCAACCTCAGCAGGCCTCTGTAAGACATAATGGGAAGCACTTTCCCTTTCTTTGCATAAGTTATGGATAAACTGACTACAATTAATGAATCTTTAAAAAGGGACTGATAAAAAAAACAGTGGCTCCAATCTCACTGTGTTTGTCCTCGTCAAACGTTCTGATTAGCTACCTTGACTGGGGCGCAAGAAAAGCGGAAATCCATGAATCATGAATGAGAGGCGTCCTCTGTAGGCCCTGACTTTCTTTTCAGGCTATAGGGAAAATAGAGGCGTTAATAAATGTACATATCAATATTAACGGCAGTCAGGCTCCCGCTGGATTGAGGCATGTATCATTTATCATAACATCAGGTATTAATTACCTGCATAAAATCAGCCTCTTGTGAACACAGCTGAAGCACCCATCAGCGCTTTTTCTTTTTTACTTGTGTGTGTGTTTAAAGGTCCTAAGTGGGAATGAGACGGATAAAAAAGGATAAAATCGATGGGGGAGGAGAATATGTAATGTATGATTGAAAGACTGAAGCAAAGAGCAAAAGGACAAGTGTGTGTGTGTGTGTGTGTGCGTGTGTGTTTATGTCAGTAATAGTGGCAGGCTACAGTAGCTCCTGAACTACTCCCTGAGGCAAAACAGTACATTAGTTGTCCACACAATGTATACTAGCCAAATGATGCCTGTGTGTGTGTTGATCGAAAGAACTGAAAATGAGAAGAAATGCAGAGAGAAAAAAACTTGAGCTATTACTAGGTTTTGCGATATTTTGAATTTTCTAATTTTCGCAATGCATGTGCTAGCGATATAAAAAAAGAAAGAATGTGAATATCATGATTTTAATGTGCCATTTTGTTAGGCCATTACGTTTCCAAAAGACCGTCCCAGTTGGCTAGTTTTTCACCCTTTAATGAGTATGAGAACATTAAGACCGTTCAAAGGTTTGGGGTCGGTAAGATTTTTTAGTAGGTAAGAAGCATCTTTTACTCACCAAGGCTGCATTTATTTGATTAAAAAATACAGTAAAACTTTGAAATAGTAAAATTTAAAAGAACTTTCATTTATAATAAGTTTTAAAATTAAATTTATTCCTGTGATGGTAAAGCTGAATTTTCAGCATCATTACTTCAGTCTTTAGTGTCACATGATCCTTCGGAAATCATTCTAATATTGATTTTCTGCTCAAGAAACACTTATTTTTTTTTTTTATCAATGTTGGAAACAGTAGTGCTGCTTAGTATTTTTGTGGAAACGGTAATACATTTTTTTTCAGGACTTTTTGATGAATAGAAAATTAAAAAGAACAGCATTTATTTGAAATTGAATTTAATTGTATTGTAATGTAAAAGTATTTACTTCACTTGATCCATTTAATGCATTTTATTTATTGCTAAATAAAAGTATTTATTTCTTTAAAAAAGTCTTATTGACCCCAAACGTTTGAACGGTAATGCGTATGTACTGTAAATATTTTTTTCTCCAGTATACAGTGTGTGAGATATATATATATATATATAGGTCAGAAAAATAAAGAAGTTCTATAAAATGTGTGTGTTTATGCATGGGACCTTCTCCAGCAGCTGTCGGAGCTGTCTGCTCTTGGCATCCCTGGAGCAGAGGTTTTGTTCCGGTGCGACCACAGTGCAGATACAGCGTCCGTCAGCATCCTGTGCCGAACTATACACCTGCCATCCTTCCTTGGGACCAATCGTCTGGAGAGACACACACATACTTTAAAAGACTAGGTCACCCAAAAAAATGCCAATTCTGTAATCATTCACTCATCCTGATGTTTTTTCAAAACAGTATGACATATGACTTTGACAGTATGACTTTCTTCTGCTCGAAACAGAAGACTTGTACAATAGCTCTGGGCAAAAAACAGACAGGAGTTTACATGTTTACACGTACAGTACATGTCTGTCCGATTCATAATGAAACTGGATCAGATGTTTCATTAAAAGGATCCAAATCAAAAAATGATTTGTTTATGAATTGGACATTGCTACTTTTCATGAAAATGCCAAGGAAAACTAGGGCAGATGTCAATATTTTCAGTGGGCTTTCATCTATTTGTTGCACAAAGCTATCATACAGTATGACTTCAAAAGACTAAATATTTCACACAAGGCATATGGATTGCTTTTATTGTGCTTTTGCGTCCTTTTTTGAAGCTTGAAAGATTTAAGATAAGGCAGAAAAGAGTCAAACTGGTTTGAACTGACATGAGGGTGAGAAACTGACTGAATTTTTTATTTTGGGGTGAAGTGTCCCTTTTACTTATCATTGAACTCAATTGTTTTATTGTGCTGTAGGCAGGTAAATATGACAGATTTTATCCACTGAGCGAATTCAAAGGAATGTTGTTGTAAATTCTTCTTCTTGTGCAGCCTTTAGATCATCTTTAACAACAAGGCTATGGCACGAATGCTAAAACCCATGATTGTCATTTATATGAAGCACACAAAGGCCTTGCTAACTGTTAAAGAGTTTTTGCGGGTTATAACAGTCAAGCAGGCGTGCCATTACCCCAGTTTCTCAGGAGATGAATGAAATAAATTGCTTAGGTGGACTGAAAAGCCAAGAAGACGACATCATAAACCCGCTTTTATCTATTGGAAATCTGTCTAATACTGGACCCGTGTGCCTGTGACATCATAAAGTGGGCGTGTCCCTGTCAGTCACAATAATGCCAGTGTTCTCTCGCTCTAATCCACTTGCGCTGTAACTGATCCAATTCCCCAGCTTTGATGTATAATTTGTACAGTCGAGTCTGAGAGTTGATATGCGAGACGTGTAACTGTGCACTCAACGGATCCACAAATACAAGCAGGGCTTAAAAAATAAACAAAAACAATACAGACAATTGGGATAGTGAAAAGACAGGATGGAGAAACGATAGGGAGGTTTTGTGGATTCACTTGAGAGGACAAAAAAGATAAGCTGAGGACAGAGGCATCCCATGTCCTCAATGCATGTGCACACACTGATTTTACTGTCGCCATCCTTGACTGCCTCCGCTTCTTATTTTTTTCTACCACTGTCACATATTTTCAATTTCTTAAAAAACATTTTCTTCTCCATAGATGATTTCTTTTGTGTTGCAAGTTTGACATTGCTGTTATACAACAGTTCAATAAACAATACGTTAAAGGGGTCATATGATGCGATTTCAAGTTTTCCTTTCTCTTTGGAGTGTTACAAGCTGATTGTGCATAGATAAGATCCCTGAAGTTGCAAAGACTAAAGTCTCAAAACCAAAGAGGTATTCTTTATCAAAGTTAAGACTCTGCCACGCCCCCCTAAAACGGCTCGTTCTAATACGCCCCCACATATCTACCTCACTATGTGGAAATATTTGCATAATGCTGCCCAAATGTGCACGCAAAGAAAGGCGACGTGGTTTCAGTAACCGCAGTTAGTGTTGAAGCGGCCATGTCAGGGAGAGAGAGAGCGAGAGAGGGGGGGGGGTCACATTACAGTGGAGTCAGCTGTCTTTACCGTGGCTTGTGTACTGCAAACACATACCAGCTTCATCACTGTGTCTGTCACACGACTCTGTTCCCCTTTCGGGCTCTGTCTTTACATTTATTTTGAAAGATGAAGCTCGCGATTATGGTAAGGGGCGTTACATTTCCGACGAGTGCTTGCGGTGTTCGGCCAATCACAATGCACTGGGTCAGCTGGCCAATCAGAGCAGACTGCGCTTGTTGGAAGGAGGGACTTTGTAGAAAACTAAGCGTTTGAGAGAGGCGGGGCATAGAGGACCTACAATAATGTACAGTATTTGAAAAATAATGTGTTTTTTAACATTAAAGCATGTCAACATATTCTGTTACACCAAATACACAAAATAATGATCTTTAAAAAAAGCATCATATGACCCCTTTAATACTGAGTATCTTACATTTTAGACCCAATATTGCCAGTTACTCATCAATTTTTGCTCCGCCAATGAAAATAGACACAAAGCCTAAGCAATACACAGCAGCATTACTTAATAAATCATTATTATTGACTGAATCAAATGAATTAACTGAATGACTGAATTGTTTCTTTTTGAATAATTATGTGCTTTTAAAGAATTAGGTGAATGAATGATAAGTTACTCAAAGAAGGCCACTAGTTTATTTCCTGAATGAATTTATGTTTTTAAACAAATCTGTACATGTATGATTCAACGACTCATTCATACAGATGATCACTTGTTTTGATTCTGAATTAATCTGTTTTGAATGAGTGAACGGTGACTTGTTCATAAAAGCAGCCACTAGTTTCATTTCTAAATGAATTAGAGTTTTGAATGAAACAGTTGAATGAATGATGACTCACTCATAAAGACCATCACATCTGTCGATCCTGAATGAACTGGTGTTTTGAACAAATCGGTTGAGTGAATCGATTGACTCGCTCATAAAGATGGCCACTAGTTCCATTCCTAAATGAACTGTTTTTTTTTAATGAATCGTTAAATGTATAATTCAGTGACTCACCCATAAAGGCAGTCTTGCTTCTTTCCTGAATAAATAGGTCTTTTGAATGAATCATTTGAGTAAATAGTAACTTGCTCATAAAGGCAGCCACTTGTTACGTTTCTGAATGAATCTGTGTTTTGAACAAATTGGTTGAGTGAAAGGCGGTCATGTGTCACCACCTACCAGTGAAACGATATAACTTGCATTAAGAGTGACTGAAAAAATCCCCACCACTAATGCACAGACTGACAGCCTGTCTAAATAAGAAATTGCTTCTATTTTGCATTGCAATATTTTTTGAAATAGAGTAATTTATGATAAATGCAGTGTAAGGCATGTACAGGACATTACAACACCAGCAGTATCTCAACAAAGCACTTCAGTTATGAAATGATTGATTCTTTTACAGTCACACAGAGTATGTCCATTTCCATTTAAGTTAAGATGAAAACAAATTGTGTACGCCATCCAGACAGAGAAAGATGTTTTAACACATAGAATATATCACTACAGAGCATGGAGGAATATACATTGACCATACAGGTACTTGTCTTTTAAATGGACTCCCATTTCTGTCCTGATGGTGGAAATCATCATGTAACAGTGTCTGTTATGACTAAATTCATATAGTTCATTTGAAAAAGTTTAGTGGGAAAAATGTGTAAAGTTATACATTTGTTGGTGTGTTGCTCACACACACTAAATACAGGGGTTCATGATATGTGTACTGTGATAATTAAATACAAAGCAGAGAAAACAGTCCTCTATTCTTTTGTTCTCACTAGTATTTGGCTCTGCCGTGCTTTGCATCAAGTGCTGATATCAACAACACCTGTTTGAAAATTAACAGGCTTAGCCTGCTGCTTACAGAAATTGCAATAATTTTTTCTTTCTCCCTTTCTGTGGATTGCTTACTCTTGCTTTCTTGTGCTCTGACCTCTAGACTAT